GGAATGGAAATCAGTCACGTCGTACATCACTACTACATATCTATGACAGTGACAACAGCTCAAACTTACCATTCAGTGAGTTCATGACAACCAAAGCAGCTTCTCCACATCTTTAATTTTCTTCTTTCTCGATTTTAGAGGCTTGTGTAGATTCTGAGTTAATGTAATTTTTTTTTACAGTATAAAGTGATTTGAGACAACTGCTCCTGTGATTTGGTGACATATAAATAAAACTGCATTGAAACTAAACAGAGGTGGAAACAACAATTAATGAAAAAAAATGAATAAATGTTTGCTTTGGAGCTCCTCCTTCACCAGAATCGACCATCTTTCTCCATTCTTAACAACAGAAAGAGTTAGAAATAGACAAGAAGAAGCGCAGAGAAGGTCCTGCACTGACACTACAAGTCTATAAATCATGTCATCAGTTCAGTTCAGTTTTATTTACATAATGCTAAATCACAATAACACTCACCTCAAGGCGCTTTGTATTGTAAAACCCTGCAATTATACAGAGAAAACATCAACAGACAACAAGTATTAGCAAGTGCTTGGTGACACTCCCTTTTAACAGGAAGAAACCTCTGCAAAGATGCTGAAACTTATAGGAGGTGTTTTTATAATATTCATTACAATATGAGGTACTGAAGTTAAATTTTAAATATGTTGAAACACAATACTGAAACATTCAAAATAATATAAAAATTAATAAAGGTATGTTACAGGCTTTGATTTTAATGATTAGTCAGTTGAACAGCCACATTTGTCAGAAACAATTTAACAGTTGTTTAGCACAACATGCATTTATTTAAAGGGAGAAATTTAATAACATCATATCATATATATTATATTATTGAAACACCTACCTCTATGGTCAAAGGAGCTTGCAAAGAAAAGCGTCTGGACTTCTTTAATTTGCTTGAAGACGTTTCACCTCTCATCTGAGAAGCTTCTTCAGTTCTAAGGTCAAATGGTGGGGAGTCCCAGATTTAAAACTAGTGGGAGTGACCCCCCACAGAGGGACAAAAGGACCCCCTGATGATCCTCTAATCGCCTGAGCCAAGGTGTGAAACTGGGTGTGGGTCCCAATCAGCCAGGGTTTCGGGTGAGCTCATTGTGAAACCTGGCCCCACCATATCATGTGATTTCCTGAGGTCAGATGGCCCAGGACGTACACCACTTTGTATTGGTCGTTCACGTGGAATTGGGTATCATTCCAGTGCTGATTTACTCTGTCCTCAAAAGCTGGCCCATAAGTCTGGGCACAGACTGCCCAAAAAAATGAAAATAAATGTTCATTATCTGTATGTAAAATATTCTTTGCAAATATTCTAAGGATGTATTCATGTAAATAAAACTAGTGTGACATTTTTTAGCAATGAAATGCAAGAAATACAAAACTATCAAAAAAAAAAGTAAATCAATAAAGAAATAAATCAATAAATAAAACACAAAAGTATTTTTATTCAAATTATTTTCATGTTGCCTTGAAACAAAATACCTCCCACTGCTGTTACTGGAGCTCACAGCAAATTACCAAAACTTCTACATATATTTATGTTTCATGCTTTGGAGAGGCAAAGTATGAAATAAACAGGGTAGACCAGTATTTCTAGTTTGCTGTGATACTGGGTTGCATCTCCCTTCAAATCAACTTTGTGACAACTGGTCGTCAACTGTGAAAATATTGTAGATGTTTGTTGAAAAGGAGACATCTCAAAAGATTCAAACTTTCTAATGAATTGGATACAATCTTACCTTAAGTTAGAGTATAATATCAATTAGATTTTTTTCCTCACCTGTGAAAGTTTTAAGCAGATAAACAGAGTATTATTGATTGTAATCACTTTCCTGATCCTATGTCTGTGTAGGTTGTCAGTCATCCAGCTCATGATAATCTAAGGAGCTTGGAAAGAAAAGCGTCTAGACTTCTTAAGTTGCTTGAAGACGTTTCACCTCTCATCTGAGAAGCTTCTTCAGTTCTAAGCTCCTTAGATTTTCATGATCATACTTTTGGGCATTGAGGTCACAGGGCTGTGTCTCTGATACGCTGGTCTGAAGTACGGGGGCCCCACAGGGAACTGTGCTGGCACCGTTCCTCTTCACCCTCTACACTGCAGACTTCTCCATCAACTCCCCACGCTGCCACCTACAGAAGTTCTCTGACAACTCTGCCATAGTCGGCCTCATTTTTCTTTCTAAGCTCATTAGACTACGATGACCTGGATGACTGGGAATCTTCACAGGCAACATTTTCCTTTAGGTGTTCCTCCCATTTTTTGGTGCATGTTGAATAGAAATACTAGAGAGACTGATATTTACTGTAATGCATTGATGACAGCCACATATGGATTTCAGACAGATTATTCCTCATCACTTCACTTGTTCCTTTAGGCTGATCAACCCTGATTATAGTTGTTATAGGCTAAAAAGCAATAATGTATGGGTTGGAAAAAATTAATGTTCTTTTTTTCCTTTCAATTTGTAAATAAAACTAATATGCCAGTTATACAAACACATGCAAATGTGTATAGGTAGAAAAATGCAAAATCCAAAAATAAATAAATGCAAAAATAAAAATTCTCAAGTTTTACTGACAAATGATGTGTATTACAGACATAAAGCATTTACAGTATTTGCAGGATTTGGGTTGAGTTTTATTCAGCACATTTTTGTGGAAACAGCAGCAAACTTTGGTACATGGTTATAACCTGTAATAAATTCAAAAATGTATAAAAAGAGCCATGCAAAATCCTGACACCATGGGTGTAAATGTTTACATTGACATGACTGTTTCCTTGTTGTTAGTTCCTCTTTGACAGTTCATGTGACTGGACATTTATTATCATCACTTGCTCAGAGCACATCATTACCTGGAAGCTTGCAGCATGGCACAGCTCACCAACGCTGTGGTTACTTCTAACATCTCCTCCTCTCCTGGATATTCACCCCATTTTTCATGGGACTACAGTGGTATAGCTGCTGTAGTAGTGCTGTCCATCTGCTTCCTGCTGGGATTCCCTGGAAACATCGCTGTCATCATTCTCAAGCCAAACTGGGAGAACATGTCCAGTCTGACCCAGAGTTTGATGCTGAACCTGGCTGTGTCGGGCCTACTTTGCATGTTTACCATTCCATTTTGGATTTACTCTTTCCTCAACAGCTGGACCCTGGGCCTGGTGGGCTGCAAGATCATAACATATTTTGGGTACTGCAGCATATATGCCAGCCTGCTGACTGTGACTGTGATGAGTGTCCAGCGTTACTTTCAGGTGGTATACCTGCAAAGGAATTTAAACCACATACAAGCATGGAAGCTGCTGGTTCCACTCTGGCTGGTTGCAATGATCCTGTCCATTCCTGCTTTAGTGGTTCGACAGCTGGTAGAACAGTCGGATTGGACATATTGCAAACATCAATACTATTCGGTGAACCAGTCAATGGCCGTGTTGTTGGCAGAGATACTTGTGGGTTTTGTTTCAGTTTCTGTCAATGTTTTTTCATACATCTGCCTCTACAGAGAGGTGAATCAGGCAGCCTTTTTCAACAATCCACAGACCACCAGACTCATTACCAGTATCATTGTAACCTTTTTTGTCGTGTGGGTGCCATGTCTTGCCATAAATGTCCTGGGTGTGGCAGCTATTTCCCTAAACAATAAGGACTTGCTGAAGTTTTGCGAAGCAGCATGGGGCACTGTTACAGCACTAACGTTTGCAAACGGTGCAGTGAATCCACTCCTGTATGCCTTTACTTCTAATGGTTTGTCCACTCTGTGCCAAAAAAATGCTGAACATTTAATGCAGAAGCTCAGAATTCCCCCACAATCTAAGTCAGCAAATACCGTTTCAGACGTAAGATGACAACGTTGAAAGCTCTTTAATTATTTAGATTATTTTATCAAATGATTTTCCCCCTGTGATGCTGGATCTTCTCTGTCCTGCACTGTAAAACAACAACAACAGAAATATACAGTAAAATAATTGTGTGTAAACAACAAAATTACCTATAATATCGCCAATCACTGTTCTAATACAATTAATCAGACCTAACATAACAGTGCTGTTGGATTTTATTATGTGTCTTATATGCAATGTTATACTTTTACTTTTAATCCATAATTAATGTCATAATAATGTAACACCCATTAAATAAAAATCAAAATACTTTTATTAAACTAGTGAATGGGTTTAAAAATACAGCAATCCTATGTTTTTTTTTATTATACTAACTGTCTAATGGGGGTTTGTGTGTATTTTAATAAAACACTTTATAATAATGTAACACTATTAAGCATTAGTAAGTATTAGTATGGTTGTAGTGAGTGCTTAATTTATCATTTATATATCGTTACTCCTCCTTGGTATTTCATTTATAAATACAGATATGTTTATCCATCTGTTACTAATACCAAAAACCATGTACACCATCACTGCTGTACGTTGTTTAACTATGTACAGTTACTGTTAGTAAAAACCATAGTCGTTATAATAGTCATAATAAAATATGGTTATTTATAAGTAGGATACCAAGGAGGAGAAATGATGAATTAATCGCTTGATAATATCCTAATAATGCTTAATAGTGTGACATCATTACAGCTTAACCTAAGCACTGCTCTGGTGTAGGAATAAG